CTTACTTATAACAGTTGGAATATGGCAGAAATTAGAGGATGTCACTTTAAATATTGGTTATAAATACAGACTGTGGCTTTGATCAGAGATGTTCTTCTCTCTAGCTATCCCTTAGATAGGTCTTCCTGGGGCCAGGCGGCTGCCATGCTGTGAGGTAACCCTATAGAAAGGTCTACATGCAAGAGACTGAGGTCTACCAATCACCACAGGAGTAAGCTTGGAAGCAAATCCCTACCTCTTCCCAATTAAGACTTTAGATCAGACCATAGCCCAGCCAGCAGCTTGGATACAACCTTTTGGGTGACCTTGAGCCTAAGGTACCCACCCAAGCCACTCCTGGGTATCCATGATCCTGTAAGATAATAAACGTTTGTTGTGTTACACTGCTACGTTTTGGCTAATGTATTGGGCAGCAACAGGTAACTAATACACAATGCTGGTCAAGTAATACAAATTAGCATTATTACTATTGGGAAAAATCAAAACCCTGTTCTACCTGAGAAGATTCAACAAGATTATAGCATCATGTCTGTGATGTACCTAACAAAGAAGCATATCTTGAAGTTGTACATGAGGAAACATCAGGCAAACCCAGTATGAGGACATTCTAAATAATCACTGGCCAAGAATCCTCAAACCTGTCACAAAATCAAGAAAAAGTAAGGAATTGCTCCAGATTGAAGGAAACTAAAGAGATATGACATTTAAGTGCACCATGTGATTTTGACCTGGAAAATTGTTTTAGTAAGATATTATGGAAACAACTGATAAAGCATGAATGGGGTCTAAAATTTAGATCCCAATAACGGATTAATGTTAATTTCCTGATTTTAATAATCTCATTTTGGTTATACATAGAGAATATCTTTATTTGTAGAAAACAGCTAACATTCTGTCTCCAGGTTCCTCGCAAAAATTCTGCTTATAGGGCACAGAAAGAGACCAATGAGACTGTTCCTACTATACCACGTTAAGTTGTTCTCTGTGGCCATGGTATCTCATATGGTAAGATAATGTATCTGCTTTGCAATTTCTTGATCTGTCTCCCTATGTGCTCTATGGCACTTCCATGAAAGCAAGGGAGTTTGGAAATTCATATAAGTTTCTAAATTATAATAATGGTGTAATAAGTTAATGTTAGGTATAGTCATCATTTTCACTATTTCCTTCGTGGAGTTGGACTAATTAAGTATGGCCATGTGGAAAATATTCTCTGTTTCAAAACCTTCAAAAAACTCCACCAAAAATTTCATCTTAGCACTTTCCCCCAAACTTCATATAAACAAAATAGAGTTCATGGAAAAAAAATAAGAGGGTGCATATTAATTTTTTAATAGCCAGCAGTGTAATTCTCTTTAGGTGTGTCTTATTTTATTTACACTTATACTTTTTTTTTTCTTTTAAGTCAGTGAATAAGAGATACCTAGTCCTCAGATTTTATTTTAAACAGGGTTTCCCATCCTCAGGTTTATAATAAAATAAAATAAAATAAATAAAATAAAATAAAATAAAAGTAAGCATTTCAAGGTCTTAACCAGCTCATCTGAGATTGAAAGTTAAATGTAAGGCCCAAAGACATTTTAGAAGCCACTAAAGGGTATAACTGGTTGCAATTAACTTTGTTCTACAGAGACTGGGAGTCATACCTACTTTCTGGAATTAGAGTTCAGTTTTCATATAAAAATGAAGGTCAGATAGTAAACAATACTGCATTAAATTATTGCAGCGGTTAAATAATAAAACAGGGAATACAAATCTTGAGGTGGATCACCTGGCCCCTAACTGTTGCTCCGGAAATGGTAGATCTTACTACATAAATTATGATTCACAATTGGCATTTATAAAACGTGTCATAGAGACCTAGTTATGAATAACCCAATCAGCTGCCAGAAACTGGCTCAGTTCAGGCACAGGAAGATAAAACAAGTATGAATAAGGGTTTAAAGATGTTACACCTGTCAGCTCTCTAGGAAAAGTTACTGAAACTGCATGCCATACCCATGCATAACTGCCGGTATTAAAGAAGATCGTTATTGTAATTCATTGTTACTGTAGTGATCTTAAAGAATTAAGACCACATTCATAATGTCCAAATTTGTCCCCAAGGAGAAAGTCTAAGTTGGGGAATATCTGGATCATTAAGTAATTTCCTCGGGTCAGAGTAAAAGCACTTTATCTGTGAATATTACTTCCATGGCATATTGGCATGCAGCACAAGTTAGTAACAAAGTGACCTTTCTCTTAAACAATTCATAGATTCACTAGGATTTTCTTCGACTTTTTGGAACAAAATATATTCCATAGTCTGATAAGTCTTAAATGTTGATCTTCCTCTGAAATCTTTACCCACCTTGCTCAACATCTGTTCCATGTTTAATCGTTTATCACATTTTCAGACACACAATCTATTATTGCTAACTTGACATTTGGATAAGAAATTGTTTTGATGTCCCAATATTTCTTGTTTTTTTTTTTTTGTATTACAAAGTAAGCTATTTTACTCCATGTATTTGTAAACTGGTTGCTTCTTCTCCAACATTGTCAATAATAACACTGTCAATTATTGGGAAGGGACAGTTATTTGCTAAAGAAGACTCAAACACAGCTCTATAAAACTGACAGCGAGATGTGCTGTGACAGAGCTATATAGTCTAATACAACATGGTGAACTCCATCTGGTCTTCACCAAAAGTAAGTTTGATATTCCAAAGTAAATGACACAGAGGCAGGAAGTGCTTAGAAGGGATACGGGAAAAGAAGATAGAGAGAGGAATAATCGTTGGACTAAGCGATTGCCAGCAGGGACCATTGTCATAGCGTAAGGAGGGTATGCTTGGGAATGGAGCTGAGGAGCTTAGGAACATAAATACGATGCCTGGATGGATGCACAGTAGTTTTTCGTTAGATTTAGGTTGGTCATGTAAAACCAGAAATAACACATGCCACAGCCGAACTGGGTCTCCTGTGTTCTTGGTTCTGTGTAGAGGAAGGATTGTGGGGAATGGCAAAAGTAGTAGGTGGTAGATATTTAATTTCTAATATTTAATTCATAAGTGGCGTTTATATTTTTTAGGATATATTTGGAAAAAAAGATGTCATGTAAATGTAGTCCAATAATACCTGGGTGAACCCATAGCATGCAATGTGGTATCACATTCAAAAGAAATACTCCATTATTATTAAGAAAAAAAAAAGCAGGAAGGGTGTGTTGAAAATCAGTTTAAGTATTTAGTGGAGTGTCTTGAATAACTGATGAGAAATTTCAGGAATATCATATGGCAAAACAGTTAAAGAACTTATTCTTCCCTAGATCTTTCTGATACCTCAAGACACTACAGCGAATTACGCCTCACCCCAATAGTGCAAAAGCTGGATTCACTTTGTTTCCTCACTTACCTACCCTGAATTTCCAGATTTATTTCTCTCTTCAGGCGCTAGCTGTGAACTCCTTTATATACGGGTTCAGACTCTGCAGTCCTTCCTTTTATCCAAATTGGCACAACAAAAGGCCTGATTATTTATCTAATAAGACAGAATTTTCTAATAATGTAGAGGGATGTGTATGTCTGCTTTAAGGATGTTGTTTCTGTAATAGTCACCGAGGGTCATAAATTCATGTAAATATTCCAATTTACATGAAGTAAGCCCTGGATGAAACCATTTGGTTACAAAAGAGCCCTGTCTTCTTAAAAGCCTTACTTTCTCTCAAAACAGTACCTTCATTTTTCTCTCCCAGTAAAATCAAGACACAATTAAAAAACTAGCTCTCCCCATTTTCAGGGGCTACTTTTAAGATACACTTCTTCCCCATTGTACTTCTAAATCTCTAGCAATCAGCACCATGTAAAAAAAGCAGCTCAAAAAATGTAGGAAGAATTGAATAACAGATTAGCAGCCCTGTATCTGTATACTAATGTTTAAAATCTAAGTAAACTACTTTGAGCTGATTTGTCAAGTCATGGAGAGAATATGATCTCTGAATACCTGGTAAGGTCACAAAGACAATTTCAAGTGAATTTGGGGTAAATCCATGCGACAACTCTTAAAGCCACTAACCTGCTTCTGCCCTCGGTATAGTTAATGCATGTCTGGGATGGGTGTAGAGTCAGCAGATGCTCTCTGAGGAATGTCAGATAGGAAAATTAGCAATGGCTCACAATACGAGTTTCAAGTTGTAACCTCAGAGTTATGGGTAACTTTATCTTACAAATGTGCTAGACACCAGAAGTTACTTTGAAGTAGAATAAGGCTTTGGCAGTGGTGACTTCAGAATAAAAGTTATTTAAAATTATCATTAAAGCTATCATCTTTAATTCATTGACTTCAAAATACATATCATAGAACTTTTAAATTTAGGTTGATATTGAAGTGTGAATTTATATCAAATTTAAGTTTTAAGAATGGGAGTGATATTATTGCTAATTGTAAATTTATTCTGATAATGTGATCACAATAATATTTGCTTCCTGGTTTGATGGCATAACTACTATGTGTTACTTGTAATCAAGAAGAAAACAATATCATCCTTCAGGAATCCCTATCTATAGCTACAAAGGATGCAACACACTCCTTGCTGGACCACTTCCAGACTTGTATGTTATACATGCTTTGGATGATTTACTTTGAGCCAAGAATTACTATCTGGTATTTGTGGTATGGTAGTTACCTTTAGCACTATGTAGGCACCTGGAATTGTAATGACAGTGAATTTTAGTACAAATTGAGTTTTGTACTTAATTACAAAGGAATTCTGTGAGTTCAGGTAAATGCAAAGACTGGAAAATAGTAAAAATGTTATATATCCTAGACATGAATGTATCTATTAGTATATTTAAAATGGAGCAGAAAGGACAAAAAAAATAAAATAAAAATGAAAGTAATTGTGTCTTCTGTAGTGGAAGAATGATCTGGCTTACAGATAAGATGTTTACATCAACCTGCAAAAAATAAATGTTGAAAAGGCCCCATAGCACCTGACAAAATTTGATTTGCCTACTCACCCACAGGAGACATTTCTGGGACACTAGCAATGTAGGGTCCATCCAAAAACTTTGGCTCATTATCGTTGATATCCTGTACTTTGATGATGAATTCCGATTCAGGCTCCAGGGGCTTCCTGGTCTCTATGTCCACAGCCTGAGCACGGAGTGTGTAGAAAGGTTTTTCTTCTCTATCCAGGCTCCTTATTGCGTGAATGTCCCCTGTAGTTTCATCAATGGTGAAAACAGAGCCAGCGCCATCTCCTGAGAGGGTGTATTTAACAGTGCCCTCTCCTTTATCTAAGTCAGAATGGAGCTTTGAAGGGGAGAGAGAAAGAGACAGAGAGACAGAGAACACCATTAAAGGGATGGTCCCATATTAAAAATTCTTGCAGTATAATTTTTTTATCAGAAAAGTTAAAGAAAAACTTATGGTTCCTTTCTCATTGTTTTTCTTTCTTCTTCTTTTCTTTTCTTTTTTTACTTTTTGATTATAAACATTTTAAAGACACAAAGAAGTAGAAAAATGCATAGTAAACCTTTATATATACATATAAATCCCAGAGATCCTATCATTTACCTTTTAATTGACAGTTGAGATTTGAACAATGCAGTGGTTAGGGTTGTTGACCCCTGTGCAGTTGAAAATCTGTGTATAACTTTTAACTCCAACAAAACTTAACTACAAATAGCTGTTGACTGGAAGCCTTACCAAAAATATGAACAATAGGTCAATTAACACATATTTTGTAAGTTATAGGTATCATATCTTGTATTCTTTTTTTTAAGATTTTATTTATCTATTTAAATTAGAGAAAGACAGTGGGCATGAGAGAGGAGAGGGGCAGAAGGGGACAGAGAGAGGGAGAGAATCCCAAGCTGACTCTGTGCTGAGTGGGGAGCTCGAGGCAGGGCTCAGTCCCAGGACCTGAGATCATGACCTCAGCCGAAACCAAGAGTTGGACGTTAACCCAGAGAACCCGGGCTCCCCTTATATACTGTATTCTTACAATACAGTGAGCTAGATAAAAGAAAATGTTATTAAGTAAACATAAAGAAGAGAAAACACATTTACAGTAATTGTACTGTATTTATTGATACCATAAGTTTATGTATTTATGAAAACAATGCATAAAAGTGAGGGTTAACCTCCATGAAGTTTAAACCCGTGTTATTCAACGATCAACTGTATTTTACTCATCTCATATATAGATCATATATCTACCCTTCCATTTGTCCTTCTGTCAATCCATCTTATTTCTCAATGTATTACAGAGATTGTCTAAGTACAGTCCTCAAATACAAGAGCATGCATAAATAAAACTAATTTGAATATCTGTATTTATTTCTTTTATACACTTTTGGGGATAAAATTTTCATAAAACGAAATGCATTAATCTTAAGTACATTTGTTTCACATTAAGTAATTGTTGTAATAAACATAAATGAGCTCCTCAATGACAAATCAGAAACCTTCCTGAATATACTGAATAAAAAAAACCAGTGACCTGAATTCAGTGAGAGAGAAGGTAAAAGAACTCAGAAAACATTGAACCTTTTTGTTTGAAAGGAGAGGATAGTTTTGGCACACCAGATGGTTTCAGATATGTGTAGTAGAGTATTTCATTTTAACAGACCGTCCTTCAATGAGTTATTCAGTATTACTCAGCCAAATGTTGAATAGAATCACCAATTATCCTTTCAGATTCACAGACAAATGACTTGCTCTAATTCATTCCATATATTTTAAATCTTGCAATATAGAAAAGTTTTGAACTTCTGCTAATTTTTTCAACACATTTATAATTCATTATATTATAGCATGTAATAAGATATACATAAATAACACAGGGGAGAGGACCAAACAGAAGATAAATTATTATTGTGATACTGTAGGTCACTGTTTTTCAAACTGGAGTCCGAGAATTATTTTTTTAAAGATTTTATTTATTTATTTGATAGAGAAAGAAAGAACAAGCAGGGGGAGCAGCAGAGGGAGAGAGAGAAGCAGGCTACCTGCTGAGCAAGGAGCCCAATGCAGGGCTTGATCCCAGGACCCCAGGATCATGACCTGAGCCGAAGGCAGACACTTAACTGACCGAGCCACCCAGGTGCCCCTGGGGTCCAAGAATTAATAGAAGATGACCATAGTCTTCGAAATCCATGAAGTATCCAGTAATGTATATATATAATATAAATATTACATTATTTATAATTCTCTAAGAATATGTATATTCTTACAAATACATATTTTATAAATAATGTACACACTCTAAATTATATAGCATATATAGTCTTATAAATGCTATTTTTTTATTCAGATGCTGATCTAAAATGTTTTAACCTATTTCTACTCATTTGGGTAGGGTCATCTGATTTCAGGGGTCCACATTTTTACATTTAAAAGCTCCTTCCATTCAACAAACCAGCCAAAGAAAAAATGTTAAGCTTTTAGTGTCCATAGTCATTTGGGCTATGCTTCAAAATTTGCGTATAAGCACAACATTCTTGGCAAAACTTGCAGTAAGAATGTGTTCTGTATTTTTTTTAATATTTCAACCCACATTTTGTATGTGGGTTCAAATAAATATCCTTTTGCAAATAGGCTGTGTGTTAGTATTGTAAAATCAAAACACACACACACACACACACAAACAAACAACAGTGGCTACATCTTTGTTCTTAAATTCAACATTCTGGTTTAACTTCAGTAAAATAACATCATCCTTCAAATTAATGTTATTAAAATGAATGTGTTCATTTTGTGAATTTGTATTTACTTCAAAATTTGCTCTGAAAGTATATTTGTATAAGAGCATAACAAAGAATTGATACCTGGGTAAGTGTTATAATTAAAAGAGTGAGAAAACAAAAAGAGGCACAGGATTTTGATTTTTCTTTAAAGTTTCCACATATTATACTCAAGTCTAAGGAAAATTGCTATAAATGACAGGAGGAAGATTCCCCATTTTTTTTTTTTTACAAACTCTTATGAAGCACAGGAAGTTTCAAGTGTAAAATCAAGCTGTAGATAAATGTACTTTGAACTTAAGAATTTCAAATTACGTATTTCAACCATACTATTAAAGATATTCAACACAGTGGGTATTGCTTTTCTTTTAAATTTATCTAAAGATATGAGGCAGGCAAAAGCTCAATGCAAAAGCAAAGACTTTATAAACTGCATCCATTTTTCCAATGGCTCAAAAGAATATGTGGTAATACTGTGGGAAATGAGTGAAAATTCTAAGAAGGTTTTTACAATGTGATCCAAGTAGAGTTACAAAAAAAAAAAAAAATCCTCATTTAGCTAAAATCAGAACTGTTTTCTTTTCAAACTGACATAAGAATAGAAAAGCAAATGTGTTTTCAGCTCTATCCAAGATCGAAATTAAATTCAGTTGCTGTTTCTCCTTATTCTTTTACCTTTTCCTTCTAATTTAAGCTGAATTTTGTAGAGATTGAAACTTCAGAAGAAATATGTGAGAATATGTTAAAATTTTGAACTGAAAATGAAGTTGATTGATGTAAAATTCGTGAGAGGATTAGAATTTTTAGAGCAGTTCATTACTTGACAATATCTCACAGGAGACCCCCTCCAATATCCTGCATTGTCAGGCAATATTTAAAATTAGTTAACCAATGTTGATTAAATTGGCACATGAATGACTAGCTTAAAGTATAGGTAGTTTTCCCACAACAGTTCTAATATTAAATAAATGACGGCCTGATGTGGGTATTGTAGAAAACTTCTTTTATTCTTCCAGTACACTTTCAGTTATATTCAGTACTTATATATAAATTGCTATAAAGAAAAATACATATAACTGAAAGACCATACATATGAAAATACATTATGTGTATTTTTTATATTTATAATATTCTCTCACTATATATACATATAACATGATATAAAAAATCAACATTTTAAATAATGAAATACAATGATCAATTTTTATGATCACTTGAAATTCTTCAAAAAAAATTTTTTAAAGTAATCTCTATCCCCAGTGTGGGGCTCAAACTCACAACCCAATGACTGAGAGTCACATTCTCTACCGACTGAGTCAGCCAGGCGCCCCTTTTCAAAATAATTTTTAATTTTTTTAAAGATTTTATTTATTTATTTATTTGACAGAGAGAGACACAGCGAGAGAGGGAACACAAGCAGGGGGAGTGGGAGAGGGAGAAGCAGGCTTCCTGCTGAGCAGGGAGCCTGATGTGGGGCTCGATCCCTGGACCCTGGGATCATGACCTGAGCCGAAGGCAGACGCTTAACGACTGAGCCACCCAGGCACCCCCAAAATTATTTTTTAATGTGTGCATTATATTCACTCATGGAAGTTTGAAGGATTTAATGGGCGTTGCTTATCCTTTCATAAACAGTATGACGAATATGTGTGTGTGTGGGGGGGTTCTCCTGTTTAGTTCCCTAAAAGGGTAATTATCAAGACCAAAAACATCGTAATTTTTATGAATCAAAAAATTTGAAACTTCAATGATTCCAGGAATTGATCTCTGTGGATGAAATTCATTTCTTAAATCTTTCGGCAATGGAATTCAGGCTTAGCTAACACCGTGAAGTTATTTCTTAGTGTTCTTTGCATAAAGAGGGATGGAGGGTTTCAGAAGGAGGATTCTCCTGACTTGCCTTACCTTTGGGCTGTGTTCACTGTGACAAATCACGTGATGTCATTTTACACAGGGCTTTAAGCTACATATTACACAAAGCTAATAATTCTACAATGATAAGATTATTTTCCTTGATAACAATTAAAACAAGAATTTTTTTTTTCTTATTCCAATTATTTTTTAAAAAAGCTGTTTCTGCGTAGGTGCTTATTGTATTGACTGAAATAGCCAACTCCGAAAACATCATCTTTTAGTATTGACATTTAAAATTTCTCCCAGAAATAGTTCCATAAATGATGGATGTAGAAATTTGCACTGTCCAAGCAGTTGTTTTGTGGAAGTGGTGTTATTTTCTGATGTTTTCCAAGTCATCTCAGACAGAGCTTGAAAATGAGATGCCAAGGGAGGCTTTAAAAAGATCCTGAGGACCAGCTTCAGAGCGTAAGCAAGTCTGAATTCCAGTGTTTAAAAGTTTTGAGAAAGCTAGTCTAAAGTTAAGTGTTTACTAGCATCTCCTTGATTCTATTTTAGAAACTGCTGCACAAAATAAGGGATTTGTTCTTATTTTCTCTGGGTTGAAAATACACATAAAATAGAAAATGCTTTCTATATCACTGTGTCCAGCAGTGATTTCATTTTCATTTGCTATTTGCCAGGATAGGGGGTGGTTACTAGGCATGGGGA